AAAATCTGACCATAATTCTATCCTCCTGATTCCTACTTACAAGCAAAAACTAAAGCAGGAAGCACCAGTGACTCAGGTTTGCTAGCACAGACTGGAATATGTTCTGGGATTCTTCCGATGGCATTGAGGAGTACACCACATCAGTCACTGGCTTCATCAATAAGTGCATCGATGAAGTCGTCCCCACAGTGACCGTACGTACACCAACCAGAAGCCATGGATTACAGGCAACATCCGCACTGAGTTAAAGGGTAGAGCTGCCACTTTCAAGGAGCGGGACTCTAACCCGGACGCTTTTAAGAAATCCTGCTATGCCCTCCGACGAACCATCAAACAGGCAAAGCGTCAATGTGGACTAAGATTGAATCGTACTACACCGGCTCCGACGCTTGTCGGATGTGGCAGGGCTTGCAAACTATTACAGACTACAAAGGGAAGCACAGCCGCGAGCTGCCCAGTGACGCTGCCCAGTGACGAGCTAAATCACTTCTATGCTCCTTTCGAGGCAAGCAATACTGAAGCATGCATGAGAGCATCAGCTGTTCCGTATGACTATGTGATCCCGCTCTCCGTAGCCGATGTGAGTAAGACTTTTAAGCGGGTCAACATTCACAGACGGATTACCAGGACGCGTACTCCAAGCATGCGCTGACCAACTGGCAAGTGTCTTCACTGACATTTTCAACATGTCCCTGACTGAGTCTGTAATACCAACATGTTTCAAGCAGACCACCATAGTCCCCGTGCCCAAATACACTAAGATAACCTGTCTAAATGACTACCGACCCGTAGAACTCACGTGTGTAGGCTGGTCATGGCTCACATCAACACCATTATCCCAGAAACCCTAGACCCACTCTAATTTGCATACCGCCCCAACAGATCCACAGATGATGCAATCTCTATTGCACTCCACACTGCCCTTTCCCACCTGGACAAGAGGAACACCTACGTGAGAATGCTATTCATTGACTACAACTCAGCGTTCAACACCATAGTGCCCTCAGAGCTTATCACTAAGCTAAGGACCCTGGGACTAAACACCTCCCCTCTGCAACTGGATCCTGGACTTCCTGACAGGCCGCCCCCAGGTGGTAAGGGTAGGTAACAACACATCTGCTATGCTGATCCTCAACACGGGGGCCCCTCAGGGGTGCGTGCTCAGTCCCCTCCTGTACTCCCTGGCAGAACTCCAACACCATTATTAAGTTTGCCGACGACACAAAAGTGGTAGGCCTGATCACCGACAACGATGACACAGCCTATAGGGAGGAGGTCAGAGACCTGGCCGTGTGGTGCCAGGATAACAACATCTCCCTCAACGTGACCAAGACAAAGGAGATGATTGTGGACTACAGGAAGAAAATAAAAAAGGACTGAGCACGCCCCTATTCCTATTGACGGGGCTGTAGTGGAACACGTTGAGAGCTTCAAGTTCCTTGGTGTCCACATGACCAACAAACTATCATGGTCCAAACACACCAAGACAGTTCTGAAGAGGGCGCGACAAAGCCTATTCCCCCTCAGGAGACTGAAAACATTTGGCATGGGTCCTCAGATCCTCAAAACGTTCTACAGCTGCACCATCGAGAGCATCCTGACTGGTTGCATCACTGCCTGGTATGGCAACTGCTCGGCCTCCTACCGCAAGGCACTACAGAGGGTAGTGCGTACGGCCCAGTACATCACTGGGGCAAAGCTTCCTGCCATCCAGGACCTCTACACCAGGCAGTGTCAGAGGAAGGCCCTAAAAATTGTCAAAGACTCCAGCCACCCTAGTCATAGACTGTTCTCTCTGCTACCGCACGGCAAGCGGTACCGGCGCGCCAAGTCTAGGTCCAACAGGCTTCTTAACAGCTTCTAACCCCCAAGCCATAAGACTCCTGAACAGCTAATCAGCGAAAACCGGACTTGAACCCGATTGAACATCTCTGGAGAGACCTGAAAATAGATGTGCAGCGACGCTCCCCATCCAACCTGACAGAGCTTGAGAGTATCTGCAGAGAATAATGTGAGAAACTCCCCAAATACAGGTGTGCGAAGCTTGTAGCGTCATACCCAAGAAGACTTGAGGCTGTAATCCCTGCCAAATGTGCTTCAACAATGTACTGAGTAAAGGGTCTGAATACTTATGTAAATGTGATATTTCAGTTTTAAATTTTTTATAAATTCGCTACAATTTCTAAAAACCTGTTTTTGGTTTGTCATTATGGGGTATTATGGGTAGATTGATGATAAACATTTTTCTATTCCATTTTAGAATAAGGCTGTAACATAACAAAATGCACTGAATCACTATATGAAGACATAGTGAAGCCTGAAACAGTCTGAAATATCACTATATAAAGACACAGTGAAGCCTGAAACAGTCTGAAATATCACTATATAAAGACATAGTGAAGCCTGAAACAGTCTGAAATATCACTATATAAAGATACAGTGAAGCCTGAAACAGTCTGACATATCACTATATAAAGATATAGTCATTTCCATTTCGGACACCTTGTACACCTTTGTGTTTTTAGTTGAGAAAATAGTGTTATACACTGCTGAATTGTTCTTTTGTTTAACCTGTTTTTTAACCAGGTCATTTCCCCAGTGTGAGATGCACACCAACTGGGAGAGGAGTATATTGTTGTGCTTGAAAGTGACTAGAATATAGATGGAATTCCAAACCTGTGCTGCTGCTATTCCTATTCCCGAAATAGCTCCTCACACTCCAGATAACAATCAGTCAATTAATTAACAGAGTAAACTATTTTTGCACGCATTAATAACGATTTGGTACTGAGTGAACTGGACGACATAAGTTATTTTCCTGCAAATAGTTGAGGAATTACATCTGCAAGGGAAAACGTGTTATCTAGCAGGAGAGACCCGACAGCAAACACTTTGAAGGGCTTCTCTTTAGCAAGGCGACGATGCCAACACACTGGTGGCAGCAACAACGCTGATAAACAACCATGTATAATTGCATCTATTTGCATTTTAAATAATGTTATGAGAAATAAATGAGTTAGTAGGCTAATAAAACAACTATCCAGTGGTTGTGTAAATTAGTGAAGTACTGAGAACGGTCGGGAAAACTTTTAGCACAAAGCACAGTATCTTCTATCTATTCTATAGAACCTTCAGTTCCACTATCTATCTGATAATGTTGTGGAAAGAAGATAAGTTCCTAATGAAAACTCAAGCGGAGCCTTTTACTCAGATATTTTAATAATATCTACAACAACAGGAAGTAATGTCTACAACAACAGGAAGTAATGTCTACAACAACAGGAAGTAATGTCTACAACAACAGGAAGTAATGTCTACAACAACAGGTAGTAATGTCTACAACAACAGGTAGTAATGTCTACAACAACAGGTAGTAATGTCTACAACAACAGGAAGTAATGTCTACAACAACAGGTAGTAATGTCTACAACAACAGGAAGTAATGTCTACAACAACAGGAAGTAATGTCTACAACAACATGAAGTCATGTCTACAAGAACAGATGGTAATGTCTACAAAAACAGGTAGTAATGTCTACAACAACAGGAAGTAATGTCTACAACAACAGGAAGTAATGTCTACAACAACAGGAAGTAATGTCTACAACAACAGGTAGTAATGTCTACAACAACAGGAAGTAATGTTTACAACAACAGATAGTAATGTCTACAACACCAGGAAGTAATGTCTACAACAACAGGAAGTAATGTCTACAACAACAGGAAGTAATGTCTACAACAACAGGTAGAATAGGGAATCAGGTAGACTACACTACTACCACTAACCCACACAGGGAATCAGGTAGACTACACTACACTATTACCACTAACCCACACAGGGAATCAGGAAGACTAGCCTACACTACTACCACTAACCCACACAGGGAATCAGGTAGACTACAATACACTACTACCACTAACCCACACAGGGAATCAGGGACACTAGCCTACACTACTACCACTAACCCACACAGGGAATCAGGGACACTAGCCTACACTACAACCACTAACCCACACAGGGAATCAGGTAGACTAGCCTACACTACAACCACTATCCCACACAGGGAATCAGGGACACTAGCCTACACTACAACCACTAACCCACACAGGGAATCAGGTAGACTACAATACACTACTACCACTATCCCACACAGGGAATCAGGGACACTAGCCTACACTACAACCACTAACCCACACAGGGAATCAGGTAGACTACACTACACTACTACCACTAACCCACACAGGGAATCAGGGACACTAGCCTACACTACAACCACTAACCCACACAGGGAATCAGGTAGACTACACTACACTACAACCACTAACCCACACAGGGAATCAGGTAGACTACACTACACTACTACCACTACTACAACAGCATCCTGCTCCTCTAGTGTTCAGCGGAAGCGTCTGTCCCCTAATCACTGTTGACAATTACACAGAGCGACCGAGGCAGCACCTCATATTTTTACAGCTGTTTTTTTTTCCATATCCCTCCCTCTACTGAGCTGTAGTTGGCTGTGGTTGGATGTGGCTGGTTGGCCAGCTCTGCTCTGGGTTTGAGATGGATGAGGGGACTGACTCTTTCAGACACCAACGCTCCAGTCACCACGGATACACACAGGAAACAGCCAATCCCAGCCTCTCCACCGAGGAAGTGGAAATACAAATAGATTAGACACGAGAAAAATACAATATTCTCTCTCTCTCTCTCTCTCTCTCTCTCTTCAACCTCCAACAAAATATTTCCATCAATGAACCACAGCGTTATAAATTAATATCCTAACACATTCTTGCACTGTTCCCAACATTAATCACAGGCAGTATGTGTTCACAGTGTAGAGACGGTCGGTAATGCCCCAGTCCAGGTGTGGTTCTGGTGTTCTCTGGTGTAGAGATGGTTCTGGTGTTCTCTGGTGTAGGGACGGTCGGAAAATCCTCAGTCCAGGTGTGGATCTGGTGTTCTCTGGTGTAGAGACGGTCGGTAATGCCTTTGTCCAGGTGTGTTTCTGGTGTTCTCTGGTGTAGAGATGGTTCTGGTGTTCTCTGGTGTAGAGACGGTTCTGGTGTTCTCTGGTGTAGAGACGGTTCTGGTGTTCTCTGGTGTAGAGACGGTTCTGGTGTTCTCTGGTGTAGGGACGGTTCTGGTGTTCTCTGGTGTAGGGACGGTTCTGGTGTTCTCTGGTGTAGAGACGGTTCTGGTGTTCTCTGGTGTAGAGACGGTTCTGGTGTTCTCTGGTGTAGAGATGGTTCTGGTGTTCTCTGGTAAGGGACGGTTCTGGTGTTCTCTGGTGTAGGGACGGTTCTGGTGTTCTCTGGTGTAGAGACGGTTCTGGTGTTCTCTCGTATAGAGACGGTTCTGGTGTTCTCTGGTGTAGAGACGGTTCTGGTGTTCTCTGGTTCTGGTGTTCTCTGGTGTAGAGACGGTTCTGGTGTTCTCTGGTGTAGAGACGGTTCTGGTGTTCTCTGGTTCTGGTGTTCTCTGGTGTAGAGACGGTTCTGGTGTTCTCTGGTGTAGAGACGGTTCTGGTGTTCTCTGGTGTAGAGACGGTTCTGGTGTTCTCTGGTGTAGAGACGGTTCTGGTGTTCTCTGGTGTAGGGGCGGTCGGTAAATCCTCAGTCCAGGTGTGGATCTGGTTTTCTCTGGTGTAGAGACGGTTCTGGTGTTCTCTGGTGTAGAGATGGTTCTGGTGTTCTCTGGTGTAGAGACGGTTCTGGTGTTCTCTGGTGTAGAGATGGTTCTGGTGTTCTCTGGTGTAGAGACGGTTCTGGTGTTCTCTGGTGTAGAGACGGTTCTGGTGTTCTCTGGTGTAGAGATGGTTCTGGTGTTCTCTGGTGTAGAGACGGTTCTGGTGTTCTCTGGTGTAGAGACGGTTCTGGTGTTCTCTGGTGTAGGGACGGTTCTGGTGTTCTCTGGTGTAGGGACGGTTCTGGTGTTCTCTGGTGTAGAGACGGTTCTGGTGTTCTCTGGTGTAGAGATGGTTCTGGTGTTCTCTGGTGTAGAGACGGTTCTGGTGTTCTCTCGTGTAGAGACGGTTCTGGTGTTCTCTGGTGTAGAGACGGTTCTGGTGTTCTCTGGTTCTGGTGTTCTCTGGTGTAGAGACGGTTCTGGTGTTCTCTGGTGTAGAGACGGTTCTGGTGTTCTCTGGTTCTGGTGTTCTCTGGTGTAGAGATGGTTCTGGTGTTCTCTGGTGTAGAGATGGTTCTGGTGTTCTCTGGTGTAGGGACGGTCGGTAAATCCTCAGTCCAGGTGTGGTTCTGGTGTTCTCTGGTGTAGAGACGGTTCTGGTGTTCTCTGGTGTAGAGACGGTTCTGGTGTTCTCTGGTGTAGAGACGGTTCTGGTGTTCTCTGGTGTAGAGACGGTTCTGGTGTTCTCTGGTGTAGGGGCGGTCGGTAAATCCTCAGTCCAGGTGTGGATCTGGTTTTCTCTGGTGTAGAGACGGTTCTGGTGTTCTCTGGTGTAGGGACGGTCGGTAATGCCACAGCCCAGTTCTCTTTGAATCATCAGTGTGACATTATATAGGGTTCATAGATATACTGTATACTGTATATAGAGAGATACTGTATTATGCAACACTGATAATAGCTGTGCGTACAGACAGGTTACTAGGTACTGCTTTGACACCAGCTCGTCATGTATCCATGGACACCTGTGGGTGACTGTCTCCCAAACATCACAGCACATCAACATTGCTGACTGTGAGTGACTCCTTGAAGCAGAAGCTACAACTGTTGCCTAGTCTAGCCACTACATTCCCATCCATCACTTCTCTCTCCGTGGATTGGATTAAAACAATCCACTTAGCGCCCTGTCAGAGAGGAGATCCAGCGGCACACAGGAGTCTGCTCCGCTGACACTTATTCAATGTGTTTGCTCCGTTGACACCTATTTCAATGGCCCATTTAAAGCAGAGTGTTGTCAGCTTCTGCAAGGCTCTGCTCTCTCAGGTGTTTGAGTAGGAGAGAGACTGACGTGACCTGTTGACTACTAGCTAAGTGTGATGAAATAAAAGCAGGGCATTCATTCTGAGAATTTTAAGAACTTCTGCACTTTCTCATTGCGGCCAAACTTGAACTTTCTTCACGTGTCTGAGACAAGGAAAGCAACAGTCACAGCGACAGTCTACAAACATTCTACCGGAGTATTAATTAAATGTAGTTTTGACTGGTAACAGTTGCCGCATTGTAATTGTATACAGACATGTCGTTAGACCAAGTATAAACCAGCAGTGGTGGAAAAAGTACTCAATTGTCATACTTGAGTAAAAGTAAAGATACCTTAATAGAAAATGTAAAGTAAAATATGACTTGAGTAAAAGTCTAAAAGTATTTGGTTTTAAATATACTTAAGTATCAAATGTAAATGGAATTGCCAAGATGTACTTAAGTATCAAAAGTAAAAGTAAAAGTATAAACCATTTCAAATTCCTTATATTAAGCAAACCAGACGGCACAATTTTTTTGTTTTTTTTATTGACGGATAGCCAAGGGCTCACTCCAACACTCAGATGTAATTTACAAACGAAGCATTTGTGTTTAGTGAGTCTGTCAGATCAGAGGCAGTAGAGATGACTAGGGATGTTCTCTTGATAGGTGTGTGAATTGGACCATTTTCCTGTCAAAATGTAACGAGTACTTTTGGGTGTCAGGGAAAATGCATGGAGTAAAAAGTAGATTATTTTCTTTAGGAATGTAGTGAAGTAAAAGTAAAACTTTATATAGTAAAGTAAAGTACAGATACCCCAAAAAAAACACTTAAGTCGTTTTTTGGCCACGTGTAGCGCAGTTGGTAGAGCATGAAGCCAGGGTTGTGGGTTCGATTCCCACGGGGGGCCAGTATGAAAAAAGAAAAAATGTATGCATTCGCTACCCAACTGTAAATCGCTCTGGATAAGAGCGTCTGCTAAATGACTAAAATGTTAAATGTAAGTAGTCATTTCAAGTATTTTTTACTTAAGTACTTTACACCACTGTAAACCAGCGTTAAACATGTGTTTACCTGCATCAGTCAGTCAGGCCTCTCTGAGAGTTAATGCTATTTCTGTCTGTCCTGTAATGGTCCTTGTTCTGGGCCAGATAGGAGGGGACTCGGGGGTTTCCTTCCTCCCCTTCACCCCCTCTCTCTTTCCTCTCTCCAACCTTCAGCCTTCCCACAGATGGTCCTTCGCTCTGGAAAAACATCCACATGCACGCACGCACACGCACACACACGCACATACACATACACACACACACACATACACACACATACACACACACACATACACACACACACACATTCACACACACACACACACACACACACACACACACATACACATACACATACACACACACACATACACACACACATATACACACACACACACACACACACATATACACACACACACACACACACACACACATACCATCAGCCAGATTGCAGGTGCAGCCCATTAAGCCTTCCACTGCAGCTCTGCAGCCTGCTCCAAATGTATGACCTCCCCTCGCAATTAGGAAACCCCATACAGACCGTGCACTACAGGATGCAGGGAATAGGGTGCCATTTGGGAATAGGGTGCCATTTGGGAAGCAGCCAATACAGACTAGATGACCCTGCGCCCGGCTACATGTTTACAGGTTTGATGCATTCTACCTGAACAAATAAAAAAAACGGAAGAAACTTTTATTTTTCTTATTGTTCCAGCAGGCGTTACTTCCACAGTCAGGGCTTCCTGTTTGGTCAGCTCTGCTTATTTGCTTTGGAAAATATTATCCCTGTGTGTAATCTAAAAACAGGAATATATGGAAAATAACTTGTGCTTTTATAATCCATGGTATTGCAGGTGTTTCTGGGCACTCGTGCATAAACCATGAGACGGCTGGTTATCCCATTAGCCTTGCCCTGAACTTGACCAAAGTCTGGCTCCTTGAAAAACATTTTCTCTATATATATATATATATATATATATTTATTTTACACACTTCATTAGATCTACGCTCTAGTAAAATAACACAGACTCATACTGTACATTATTAACATTATAATAGAGGGATGATGGCAGGAAGGTGAACTGTCTGGTCAACCAGCTGGTTTTCAGAAAGGTGAACTGTCTGGTCAACCAGCTGGTCTTCAGAAAGGTGAACTGTCTGGTCAACCAGCTGGTCTTCGGAAAGGTGAACTGTCTGGTCAACCAGCTGGTCTTCAGAAAGGTGAACTGTCTGGTCAACCAGCTGGTCTTCAGAAAGGTGAACTGTCTGGTCAACCAGCTGGTCTTCAGAAAGGTCAACTGTTAGGTCAACCAGCTGGTCTTCAGAAAGGTGAACCGTTAGGTCAACCAGCTGGTCTTCAGAAAGGTGAACTGTCTGGTGAACCAGCTGGTCTTCAGAAAGGTTAACCATTAGATCAACCAGCTGGACTTCAGAAAGGTGAACTGTCTGGTCAACCAGCTGGTCTTCAGAAAGGTGAACTGTTAGGTCAACCAGCTGGTCTTCAGAAAGGTTAACCGTTAGGTCAACCAGCTGGTCTTCAGAAAGGTTAACCGTTAGGTCAACCAGCTGGTCTTCAGAAAGGTGAACTGTTAGGTCAACCAGCTGGTCTTCAGAAAGGTTAACCCTTAGGTCAACCAGCTGGTCTTCAGAAAGGTTAACTGTTAGGTCAACCAGCTGGTCTTCAGAAAGGTTAACTGTTAGGTCAACCAGCTGGTCTTCAGAAAGGTGAACTGTCTGGTCAACCAGCTGGTATTCAGAAAGGTGAACTGTTAGGTCAACCAGCTGGTCTTCAGAAAGGTGAACTGTTAGGTCAACCAGCTGGTCTTGAGAAAGGTGAACTGTTAGGTCAACCAGCTGGTCTTGAGAAAGGTGAACCGTTAGGTCAACCAGCTGGTCTTCAGAAAGGTGAACTGTTAGGTCAACCAGCTGGTCTTCAGAAAGGTGAACTGTTAGGTCAACAAGCTAGTCTTCAGAAAGGTGAACTGTCTGGTCAACGAGCTGGTCTTCAGAAAGGTGAAATGTCTGGTCAACAAGCTGGTCTTCAGAAAGGTGAACTGTCTGGTCAACCAGCTGGTCTTCAGAAAGGTGAACTGTCTGGTCAACCAGCTAGTCTTCAGAAAGGTGAACTGTTAGGTCAACCAGCTGGTCTTCACAAAGGAGAACTGTCTGGTCAACCAGCTGGTCTTCAGAAAGGTGAACTGTCTGGTCAACCAGCTGGTCTTCATATAGGTGAACCGTTAGGTCAACCAGCTGGTCTTCAGAAAGGTGAACTGTTAGGTCAACCAGCTGGTCTTCAGAAAGGTGAACTTTTAGGTCAACCAGCTGGTCTACAGAAAGGTGAACTGTCTGGTCAACCAGCTGGTCTTCAGAAAGGTGGACTGTCTGGTCAACCAGCTGGTCTTCAGAAAGGTGAACTGTTAGGTCAACCAGCTAGTCTTCAGAAAGGTGAACTGTCTGGTCAACCAGCTGGTCTTCAGAAAGGTGAACTGTTAGGTCAACCAGCTGGTCTTCAGAAAGGTGAACTGTTAGGTCAACCAGCTGGTCTTCAGAAAGGTGAACTGTCTGGTCAACCAGCTGGTCTTCAGAAAGGTGAACTGTTAGGTCAACCAGATGGTCTTCAGAAAGGTGAACTGTCTGGTCAACCAGATGGTCTTCAGAAAGGTGAACTGTTAGGTCAACCAGCTGGTCTTCAGAAAGGTGAACTGTCAGGTCAACCAGCTAGTCTTCAGAAAGGTGAACTGTTAGGTCAACCAGCTGGTCTTCAGAAAGGTGAACTGTTAGGTCAACCAGATGGTCTTCAGAAAGGTGAACTGTCTGGTCAACCAGATGGTCTTCAGAAAGGTGAACTGTTAGGTCAACCAGCTGGTCTTCAGAAAGGTGAACTGTTAGGTCAACCAGCTAGTCTTCAGAAAGGTGAACTGTTAGGTCAACCAGCTGGTCTTCAGAAAGGTGAACTGTTAGGTCAACCAGCTGGTCTTCAGAAAGATTAACTGTTAGGTCAACCAGCTGGTCTTCAGAAAGGTGAACTGTCTGGTCAACCAGCTAGTCTTCAGAAAGGTGAACTGTTAGGTCAACCAGCTGGTCTTCAGAAAGGAGAACTGTCTGGTCAACCAGCTGGTCTTCAGAAAGGTGAACTGTCTGGTCAACCAGCTGGTCTTCATATAGGTGAACCGTTAGGTCAACCAGCTGGTCTTCAGAAAGGTGAACTGTTAGGTCAACCAGCTGGTCTTCAGAAAGGTGAACTTTTAGGTCAACCA